TGAAAACCTGCCACTATTGCAGTCTATGAGGCTTTGTTTAGAACACCCTGTATAACAGAAATTGGACCTGCCCTTCCAGTTTATTATAATAAGGGCATTTTTTCTGTTCAGTTTCCAGGGTGTCTTCAGGGGAGGTAGCCATGTCTTCTTGAGCCTGTGGCCCTCAGAGGTTCTATTTTCCAAGGCTCCTCCCTATCTCCTGGCTAGTTACCACATATTACCACTGGGCTACCAGTCTCTAAGGGCCTAAGAGAGGCTCTCTTGAGAATCCAGGGAAACTGAGCCCAGGAGTTACCTATCCTTGATTCATCCTTCCCTGGTTCTCCCTCTCTGGTCCATAATTTCCCTGGTGCCAGCTTCTTTTCCACCTGGGGCATCCTCATCCCTGGGCTCTCTGCTGCAGATGGCAGTGTCAGCCTCCAATAGGTCACTGGCAGTGCCAATGGGGTCTTTGCAAGGCCCTAAGTTTAAGTAAAGGCAGTGGTTCTGCCTCCATCCTGGCTTTCCCACCCTTAGGGAGCGAGGCCTACAGTTGTCATATTTTAATTCCATTCCTTTAAGTCTGGAATGTTAAACTAGGCAGAACTATCATCTTGCTTCCCAGTTTAAATGCCTCTGGCCCTGGAACAAGCCTTTTCAAGACGTGAATCATTTTGCTTACACAATAGATCTGTTCCAACAGTTCTGTGTAAACCAAACGCTATTTTTTAATGCATTTGGACTGCTGGCCATTTAAAAGCAGTCTATGATTGCTTCTTTTGTAAAGCAAGCAACCTCCCTCTACTTTAGCTGGTTTCGTTATCTGGGTTTTCACATTTGGGCTTTCCCAGAGTGGAGCACACCTCCGGGGCTTGTGGCTGATGCTGTGTAGACGTCTGCATCTGCTGCGTGTGTGGTGTGGCTGGCCGGTAGGTGAGTATTACTGCGTGTGTGAGTGAAGCCACTCCCAGGCTGATGCTCTCTTCCTGTGCCCAGTGACTGCCCAATGGCAGCCCTAGCTGCCCTTCATTCCCACCTGCTGCCAAAGTCCCTGTGCTAATGGGATTACAGAAACAAAAAGTGGAAAAAAATTTTTCGTAAACTTTGTTTTATATTAAAAACTTCCATAAGTCTGTGTGTGTTAAAACATGAGGTTCTGCCTCTGTGGCTGTGTTTGAAAAAAATAAAGTTTTATTAGAATAATCCATTTTCCCAAGCAACCTTGTGTACTATAGTGTCTTTTTCACTTAGTGCACACACACACACACACACACACACACACACACACACAGTGAAAGAAGAAACAGTGAGAAGGCTAACTTCCCAATCTCTTTAAGGCATGGGTAGGCCATCCCAAAGGGCTGTATCTGGTTCCTCGACCCTTCTGTGATCAGACCTTGTTGCCTGGGTCTGTTATTACAGCTTGCTCCCAGTTTCCTGGTACTTACATGTGTTGTCTGCCATCACTTTCATTTCCAGTTGGTTAAAATCAAGTACTGATACATTCCAGTTCCCTGAGAGATGCTTGATGGTATAAGTTAGACACTTGACTAGGCTGACTCATAGGCTTTGGGTGGTAGAAGACAGAAAGGAATCCCTTCATAAGAATTTCACATGCTGTATCTGGAGAGATGGAGTTTTAGTCATTAGAACTCATATTCCAAAGACCTGGGTAACTTCTCCATCTTAAAAAAATCTTGTTTGCAAAATTATCCTAATACCAAAGCTCTTTTGTCCTAGAAAAGGACATGTTCCCTAAGCCTTGGCTTTTTTTCTTTTTTAGATTTATTTATTATGTATACAACATTCCACTTCCATGTATATCTGCACACCAGAAGAGGGCACAAGATCTCATAAGGGATGGTTGTCAGCCACTATGTGGTTGCTGAGAACTCAGGACCTCTGGAAAAGCAGTCGATGCTCTTAACCTCTGAGCCATCTTTCCAGCCCCAAGGCTTGGCTTTTTTAGTACACCCTTATGTTAATTTTCTAATGTGTATTGATGAAATACGGCTACTTTAGCCAATCAAGGGCTTCTGCCCATGAAGTTCAGCCTTTATCAGGCTGTACGGAGAGTCAAGGTGCTCACCTTATGTCTGCTTTTCTACTTCAAATTTATGGTACTCATCTGGGAATACCAGTGACGTGTACAGGGCAGGACTGGTAGAGAGTGGGAGTCGCCACCTGTCCTGGAAATAAAGGAGGAGGGGTTTTGGAGATGGATAAGGCAGACACATGTGGTTAAATCTCTGTTACTGCTTTTTCTCTCTCTACAGCTACTCTTAAATGACATTGTCCCTCATTATTTTTAATTTTTAGTTTTATTTATTTTGTTTTTAAATGTTTTTCATTTTATTTTGGTGTGTGTGTGTGTGTGTGTGTGTGTGTGTGTGTGTGTGTGTGTAGTGCTGAGGACAAAAAAAACAAGGGTCTTGTATATGCTAGATGAATATTCTCTCATTCAGCTATACCTCCAACTCTATGGTTCTGTTTTCTGTTAGTTTTCTGTGCAGTCAAATGTGTTAGTCACTTTCATTGCTGATGTCTCTTACAGGAAAGAAGTGTAAATTCTATGAGGGTGGGGGATTGTTTTATTCAGTGTTGTGGCCTCAACACTTTGGAAATTTGTTGGCATATGAAAAAGTACCTGTTTTATTTGTTGGATGAATTTATCCTTTGCCCATCCCATCCCTGAGCTTAAATATAGTTATCACTAGTGCTGTGATGTGAAAATCCAGCCTTAACTACTGGGGTAGTGATTAAGGCTCCATATGAGAGGAAAACCTTCAGTCATCAATCTTGGTAGAAAAGATGCAAGGCAGATAGGTCCTATATGGATTTACCCATTTTCCTTTTATGAATAATGTATGAGCCATGTGCTCGAAGGGCTCAACCCTGGCCTCAGGTTTGCTATGGAAGAGAGAAGTTGCAAGGAATAAGGGATTGGGTCATGCCTTTACCCCAGAAGCAGACTGGTTTACATAGTAAACTCCAGGTCAGCCTGGGACACATAATGAGACCCTTAAAAAACAAACAAGAAAGGTTGGAAGGAACAGGGAGGAAATTTTTGTTTCCATGGTGCTCCAGAGGGTGGTACTAAAAAGATTTCCCTAGATATTTTATAATTTATAAAATTGGTATCTCCCATCCCAGTATTTGCTTAAAAAAAAAAAAAGTAGGTCAAAGGTATAGACAAGGTTATGGAAAAGGAAATAACTAGGTAGTCACAGATGCTCTGGACAGATGATGGAAGAACTAGCCACTTTTAGAACAACCATCACGGTTTATGACTAGGCCGTGTCTCTTGTATAGACTTAGTCTGTGTGTTCAAGAGATTGTTAGAAACAAGGTAGTCTAACATTGCATATTGTCAATTAGTCTAGCCAAAGTCTCCCTCTGGTATCAACCTTCCTTTTCTAACTGAGATTGGAGTATCTCATTCCTGAAATAGTTCTAATACTACTGTACTTTTGTCTTCAACCCTATTACTTCCATGGTAAATGAAATGCCACAAAATTAGGTGGTTTCTCCCATTTCCCTATAAGTTGAGTAACCTAACATTGGCAGACTGGGGATAGAGAGATGGCTCTCTGGTTAAGAACACTTGCTGTTGCTTGGTCTTGCAAAAGACTTGGGTTCAATTTCCAACATCCACATGACAACAGTTTTGTAATCTAGCACCTTCTTGTGGCCTGCAGAGTGGTGCACGCGCATGCGCGTCACACACACACACACACACACACACACACACACACACACAAAATACTAAAATGGGTTTTTTGTTTGGTGTGTGTGTGTGTGTTTGTTTTTGTTTTTTTAAGACAGGTTCTCACTACATCAACTATGGACTCCAACTTTCAGAGATCTGCCTGCCTCTGCCTCCAGAATGTTGGAGTTAAGAGCAAGTGCCACCGCCGCACCTGGCTAAATCTTCAAAAACAATAACATTGACCCATTAGAAAAGGAAAAAAGCACTGTGGGATCAACGCACACCACCAAGATGTTAAAGGCACATTCGTCTTCAGCCAATGGAAATCATAGTCACACCCAATGGAGGGTTATGCATTGGCCAATGGGATAGGAACGTATCAAGTACTGAACAACTGATGGGCCAATGAGAAGGAAGGTAGTGACCAATGGTTAATGGGGCAGATATTTACTAACAGAAAACAGGAGAGTAACTCGTTTTAGGATAGGATATCAATGGGTTATTGGGGTTAGCTCAAAATACCCATCTTTTAGGTACCTTGCCTCATCTCCCCACCTTCTTAAAAAGTCTTTGGTGTTGTCTGAGGAGACTAAGCATAAGCTGAACACGTGACCACCTGAACTGGAGTAAGACTGGGACTAGGGATGGTGCTACTGGGGTGGGGGAGATGAAAGACCCGCCCATCTCTCCGCCCCCTAGTCGAATGTGCAATTCC